GTCCATGAAGTCCCTGTAAAGGGGGGGCAAAACAAATAATGTAAACACTCATGATTAATTGCTTATTAGATTAAAATGTGTTCAACCCAATTAATTGATCATGTCTGCTTAAGGCTAATTTATACTTTGAAACTAGGTCGTATGCGTAGGCGTCGCAGTGAATGCAGAGGCGCCCCTCCGCAGACACTCTGCTGCACCTTTCCCAAATTGTAGATGACCGCAGACAGGAGGCCTCTGATTGGTCAAATCTACATCCATTCTACACTATGCGCATTTCCTGTTTGGTATCTTACCAGCTTGTTTTGTCTGTATGACCGGTATTGCGGAAAACGACTCATGAAGTTGGACCAGCTAGAAGAGTGAGGTGCGCTCTTCTAGCACTTGCATCCCTCATTCGCCCTCATGTCCCTCCGCTGTTGCACAAACTTGCCCCCACTTCCTCCCCGCCTCGGTCGTATCTAGACCCACATCTACTTCATGATTGTCCGTCTTGCGTTGTGGCGTGGAGTAACATGGCGCAGACCACGCTTCAATATTTGGCATAAATCAAAAATATCTGTGACAAGCTCACTGCGACACACTGCTGCGGGGAGTAGAACCAGCCCTTCAGAAGGAGTTTACTTTAGTGTCGTAGTGTTTGTGTCGTCCACTATGGGGCACAGCTGTTCATTCTAAGCAAAGCCTCACTGGTATTTGTAAATAGAAGTAATGTCAAAGAGGAGTGTTTCTAGAGCAGCAACATGAATTGATCTACAGTCTGGTCAAGGATTATTTACACTTTTTAATGGCAACATTGCAGATACACTTTATGTTGTTCTGTTTGTAAATATAAACACTAGATAAACCCCAGAATTCTTTTCAAGTAAGCAAATTGTAAAAATATTTGGCCCTGCATAGTATGGAAAAATCTTCTTGATACTAGAGAAAACTCACTTTTTAAAGGAAATAGCCACTTCTCAAATACTCTTTAGTCGATCATAAAGATTATTTAAATGAAGTTTATTTCATCGATCAAAAATTTGCATTCCTAATATGAAGTCAAATTTAGCCTTTAAAGATAAACCAAACACAATAAAACGCTTTTTGCAGATACCTGAGATGATGTGTGGAGAGTTTCTCTACTAGAACAGTTGCCAGGCGTTCTCCAACGACTAACAAGAAGGTGACAACAATGTCATGGTATCCTTGGTAGTAGTGCAGCTGCGGATTACGTTGCAGAACCCTCAGGATTATGTCAATTAGTTCTTCTTGAAGGCCTTCTCTCTGCTCATCTGGCATACCTGTACAAGCAAATTACAGATGAAATACAGCCGTAGGCTTTCACATAATATTTGGCAGGACTCTTAATGTCACAACATGCTACCCATCTCTGTTTTTTCCATAACTAGTTAGATTTATTTGAGTAACTTTAAAAAAAAAACGCATTAGAAATAATTATACTTTACCATTCTTTTTACTTTTAAATGAGTGTTCTTGTAAAACTATGCTACTGTTATTTGAAAACATGTATGCTTAGCCTTTCAACTGGTTTTATAAGTTATTGATATAGAAAATTGCTTTTTCTACCTCTATTTGTTATTTAGTAATCATGTTATTTAGATTTTTTATTTTATACTTTGAAATCCCGAATTTTAATGATAACTTTCTCTCTGATGCAATATTAATAAACATTAGAACAGATATTACCTAGAAGTTAAATAGCCAGTTAAATTACTTTTTTTACTCTCATTTGAGTCATTTCTTGGACGACTACTTTCTACTTTTACTTGAGTAAAAAACAAAATCTTAAAGCAGTGATGCTCTTACTTGAGTAAAATGTTAGGCTACTCTACCCACACCTCTGCAAAGCAATAGGGAGGATGATAACTTTAAAAAAATAAAAAACAGCTAAATGAACAGAGCCTTTTCTGTACAAGTAAGAGCTTTCAGGCTGTCTCAAAAGGAAATTGTCCTAAATTTAAATAAATAAAAGTATTGGAGAAAAACATGGCTATTCATAATGACTGATGTAATGATGGTGGCATAATGTGGCTGAAATATTAAACCAGCATTGATTAAAAGCAGATATTTCTTAGCCAGCAAATAAGGGTAAAAATGTTGCCAGATTAGAAATGTCTTTATCTTTGCTTTAATGACAGTTTTTGTTGGATTTAACCATGTTCCTAATAAAAGCACGCTACAAAGGCAGAGCTTATATTCTAATTTGCTGCACACTACTCACCAGGTGGAAACCTTCGCAGAGAACGCTGAACATCTAGCAAGACCTGGTTGTAGTCCTTATCGTTTTCCCGCTCTACTTTTCCTGGAAAGGACATATTTGTATTAACATTGACACTGTGTGGGGGAACTTGTACCTGTTTAGAAAGTAACAATGCAACCCTTAAAGGTCTGTGGGGCAACTGTAGTTGCAAGAGCAATTTGGAGTCTGTTGCTACCAGTTGGTATTGAAGCAGAGCTGAGAAGAATACATTATACAGCATATTTTTCTTAGCTTTATTTTTCCTGCAAACTCTACAAAAGAAACAGTAAGATGACCCCTTACTTTGTAGAAGCACTAGTAAAATTAGATAGATGAAATAAACAGTACCAGGCTCTTGGTCCAAGAGGTGAGGGGGGATGTTGAGGAGCCTTGGCCAGACCTGACGGCGTAACTCATCAGTCAAGAGCCCCCCCTCACTGATTGCCATCCTCCTCAGCATTGCTACATCCACTGGATCGACACTCAGGGCCTGGGTGATGTCTGCGATTTTCCGTTTCCGCCTGGTTTCCCAGTCTACTGAAAGAGAGCTCGGGTTAAGTTTAAGTCTACTTTTAGCGGTACAGTTAAAAATTAAACAGCTAACAACTATACTTTGGGGAATTGATTGCATTTAAACAGTATATATGTGCCCTACAATGAATAGTCAGCCTCACAGCTTTAAATGTAACTTTGAATATTACACTGTTTTCCATTTACCTTGTCTTCCATTCATCGGTGACGGAGCCCGATCACTTCTAGCAGAGTTCATTTCGCTCCTCTTCTCGACGCGTCCTTATTGCAAATCATTTCTTCCCATTTTCTGTTTTCTCCATTAGCCTGCCGTACATGTCAACAAGAAAGTAACTAGCCGTTGTTTAATTAGCATTAGTAGCCTTCAAAATGTCACGGCCCTGGACAGTTCTAATGCTATTGTGTTAGCTGGGAACACAGCTAGCATCACACTGCTCTGGTTCTGTAAGCCATAGCTCTGCTAAGAGAGCCATTAGTGTTTTATACCCTTGTCTAAAAGAGCTATAAGTTGGAGCCAAAGGACCGCTTCACGTTTACATTGGCGGCGGAAAAAAAAAAAAAAAGAGATAGACAACCAAAAAAAACAAAATAAAGACATCAGCTAAAACTGAGGAAAAAAGTAAGTACCTGACCAGGATCCCACCGAAGACCCCAACAAGGAGCAAAAACAAAGAAGGCGCGAGTCACACATAAAACACAAAACCAAAAAATGAAAAGAACAAGAACCAGGCAATAAACAATAAAAAAAGAAGAGTGAGCAAAAGAAGAAACCACACAAAACCTCAGGGCAAAGAAACACCAATACAAAAAAAAAAAAAAAGGAGCAAAAATACTACCCAAACCAAGACAAACAACACAGGCAAAAAGCATTAACGAACAAAAAGAAGCAGATAAAGAGGACACAAGCCCTAGAGCCGCAACTGCCGCCGCAAACAAAAAAATCCAGTAGCATTAATTAAAATAAATAAATAAACAAGCGGAAAAAAAAAGATAAAAACAAGAAAAAAGATCAACACAAAAAAAATACCAAACACTAGTAAATAAAATACCTAAATATCCACGATTACACGGAAGACACAAAAAGCAGACAGAGAAACATAAAAATATCAATAACAAAAGAACACAAAAACAACGACGAAAAACAAAAAAAAACAAGGACTTAACTTCAATTACAGTAGACCTATGACAACAATGAAACACAGGATAAAGGTTACAAAGTAAAGCGTAAAATAGAAAAAAGTAAAAAGGGGACAAAATAAAAAATAAACCAACTGCCAAAATTTCCTGCCAACAAAAAAAAGAAAAAAAAAACAAAAAAACAAAAAATAAAATCAAGAATTGGTTAAAAAAAAAAAAAACAATTGCCTTTAATTGGTTGTTAAAGAATAATCAATTACAATCAAATCTCTCCATTCTACTCTTCATTGTTGCAATGTTCAATCATTTTTGCCTGCGAGTTAAATTACACATTTAATCTCACATTTAGTCTGGTTTATCGGGGAAGTCTTTTAAAGGAATTGCTGCAAAATAACACAAAGAAATTAAGTTAAAGGTTAAAAATAGTTACGTTATTATTTTTTCTTAGAAAATCAGTGATAAGAACCGTGATGAAGTTAGTTTTGCGTTGGATATTCGACAGACATTTGCTTCTTCTGTTTGTCGCATGTCTGTCGAATATTGAACGTAAAACCGACTTCAAATGACGTCATTTTCAACATCATGGTCCCCAGAGGCACGTGGAATCGTGTTTTTTCCCTTTTATAAAAAAAAAGCAAAGCGAAACAAATAAAAACACTCACAGTAAATGTAGAGTGGGGATTTGTCAGCCTGGCTTTGCATATGAACCATATGAATAAAGTAGAGCCGCTCTGAACTGCTGTTATAAACAGAAGAAGCGCCACTTGACACCCGCTCAGTGCGGAGCTGGTGAGTTAAAGGAAAAATTACAGCTAATCAATCTTTCTTTTTTTCTTTTTTTTACTTGGCTGTATTTTATTTTTAAGCTAAACAATTCAGTTTTGTCTCCTAAGATTGTCTTGTCATATTAAACATTGGTTTTCCCTGCTCTATCTTTATATCAAAACAATCAGTTGGAGTTCTGGTGATATTCGGTGAATAATATCTGAGTCATGCTGTGTTCACGAGGCGTGGTAAATTATTTCTGATGAAACGAAAACGAAAACTAGCAGCAGACATTTAAAGGCGCGCCTGCTCTGCTGGCGCAGTCAGAATCACAGACAGCTTCCGCTGAACTGGACCTTTCTATATTTTTACTAGTTCATTTCTTTGATATTATTCGTACGGAAATTTCAGTAAAGGTGAGTTTCATTTCATAATGGAATTTAGGAAATATTTGAGATGCGATTTCTAATAAAAGCTATGATAATATCCTTAACTTGATGATGCATTACAGACATTGAGTGAACGCAAGAGTGAACGCAAGAAGTGAGGAATAAAGAATAATATTTTTCCATCAGACGACGGTTCAAAACAAGTAGACGTTTGGGTGGTTTAAGACATTTTTATTTGTTGTTATTGTTTTGAAAACTGGCATCCGTTTCGAGAGAAAAAGAAACTTACAGGGACGCGGAAATGAGGTTTCGCCACTAGAGGGCGCAGTTTCCCCTCTGCTGAAGTCATTCGATGAGTGCTGCTCGTCGCTTAAAATTGTTTTTTAAAAATGTTATGCGCAAGAAAATGTTATAACTCAGTTCTTCGCAGTGTGAGTATTTAATGAAAAGTCATATATTTTCCTGTCAAACGTACTTCCATTTTGCTTTTAAACTGAAAGGCAAGCTGACAGTTTGCTTTTATTTCCTGCTTTAACATAAACAATGATAGTATCTCTCTCTTATCTGACTGCAATACTCTCTTAAGCAATGGAGCCGTTTACTGATTGTAATGTTTTACAAGGAAATCCAACTAATCACATTGCTTTTTTTTTTCTTTTTACCATTTTGATATGGGATTTATATATTTTTACTTTCTTCCCCTTTACCTAGAAATCAGCAGTTTCCTCCTGAAAGACCATGGAAAGGTTGACTTCAAGGTCAGGGAGAAGAGGGCCTCTAAATGGTGAGTTCACATGTTAACAGTGGAGTAAACATGCACACACCCATACAGTAGTGTTTTGCAGCAGAATTATTACTCCTTGGATATTTTTATATTGTGTCGTGTTAAATTCATAATCTTTGTTTTCAGTTCAACTTAGTTTCTTTATATAGTGCCAATTTGCAACACAGAACAACAACTAGTGTTGCGCAGATGCCATTTTTTGGCCCCGATACCTGGCTGTGCAGTATCGGCCAATACCGATAGCCTCTGTTTGAAATTGATGTGTGTGTACTGTATATATGAAGAACTGCATACTTCTTGGATGTAAAATGATTGCCAGCATGGCTTTGTCAAGCTGCTGCCTACCTTTGTGAAGCAGGAAAAAGACTAATAACTGAATCCAGTAGAACTTTTTATCGCCTGCCTGGAATGGGTGACAAGAGCTGAATAAACTTTTGGCTCTCAAAATGGTATCGGTGCCCTGTTCGTCGTTACTTACCGATACCACCATTTTAGTGGTGGATCGGGGCCCCAGCCGATACTGGTATCGGTGCAATACTAACAACAAACAAAAAAGGCGTAGAAGTAGAAATATGTAAATGTCATGTAAATCCCTTTATTTTCCCTCTATAGGGAAATTCACTTTTTTAACCCATCCCCTTGAGATTGGTTTAACACACTAGACCAACACTCCCCCATATCATCTATATATCATCTCAGAAATAAACTCAGATAACGTCTGAGCCGTTATTTTAATTATATCATTATTTGTATATATGCCTCATATATGAGGGTTGTGACAAGCTGCAAATGAGGCAACCTATTTGCTTTTTTTTCTTCAGCAACATTTTGTTCTTGCATTTCAGCTATACTGTCACTAAGTTCTCCCTTTTGTCCTTTTTTCGGCCTTTTGGTTCCTTGGCTTTTTATTATTAGGTTTCCATGTTGGAATAATATTTTGCACAGTACTTTGTGGGATCTTGAAAGCTGGGCATTTTGTTTAAGAAAGTTCAGAAATGATCTCTAATGTGTCTGTTGGATTTTTTTTTAATAATAAAGATACTATTTTCTTCATTTATACACTCTGAATCTATTTTTACTACTATTAAATCAAAACATTATCTATTGTTTAATTAGATGACTTGGTGGCACAGGATTTTATTTATGGATATGTGAGTATAAAAGGTTGGATCCAAATGTAGAGAATTTTTGAGAACTATGTGTCATTTTACTTTCATTTCACAACAATTTCATGTTTGTCTATAAGATAAAATGACCCCAGAAAGCATAAAGTTTGTAGGTGTAAAGAGAAAAATCAGATAAAAAAAAAATCAATGTTTGTGAATGAAATTGAATGGTACTGTACATGCATTTCCTTTTCACTTTTATTATTTAGCCTAACTATAGTTTTTTCTTTTTTGTCTTTCAGATATCGATACTGGTCAACATGGAAGTGGGTATGGACAAAGAGGACCAAGACGAGGCGGGTTGCAGGGAGACGGAACAAGTGAACAAGGGGTCAGAAGAAGAGCACAAAGCCAAGGAAATAGCCAAAGAGATTCAGATAGACAGAGAGGAGGAAGGGGTGGACATAGAGGAAGAGGTGCAGACAGGCAGAGGTTTGGAGGAGGCAGAAATGAACACCCAGGTGGAGCTGAGAAGCAAGGAGGAGGAGCAGCAGGAATAGGTATAAGGAGAGGAGCGCCCAATGGAGACCGAAGGGAAGGCGGGGATGAGAAAAAAGATGGTGCTGGCCCTCGTAAAATGGGTTATAAAACACTGGAAGAACTCTCGCAACAGGAGCCATCTGTTGTGGCTATTACTCTTTCCTCAAAGCCTGGCTTTCAACTCCTGCTTTCTGAGACACCAATGAGACCGGACCTCATCCAGCTTGTGTGCCTTGCGCTTTGCAAAGCCTTCAGTTCAAGGACGGACAGAGGCACCCTGCAGCACCTGGCTGACATCATAAAAGACTCAAAGTTCCTAGGTACCACCCTGCTTCACTATGTGGGAGGCATGATGTCTGACTCCAACCCTAATCGCAGAGCACAATACCCGCACCACCTGGAAAACATCCTAGCCATTCTGTCAGAGGTAACTGTTGCTTGAGATTATGTATCACTTGTTTAGGAAAAATCCTTCATTGCAATTGGGTAATGCTTTAATGCATTTGACTGTGTAGAATACTTGCACCTAATAAAGTGTTCTTCATCTATCCTTATTAGGTGGTTAGTATATTCCCTGCAAGCTCTGTCAGTACAGTGAATATGCTAGTGACAATGCTCCAAGCCTCTATCAACACCCTGAGGGCATCCGGTATAGACTTTCCGCCTAAAGTGGAGGAAAAAATGGAAAATCTGAAGGGCTTAATAGAACATCTCCAGGAAAGATCGAGAAAGGGTACCCTGCGCACAGACAAGGACTCATATTCTCTTCTAACTAACGCTGATGATAACCAAGGTGAGACTTTCTTAAGGTATTTCTGATCAAACGATTTTCTAAAGAAATGTTTATCTTGGTTAAGAGAGTGAAAGTGCCCACATTTTTACTAAAGGTGAAGCGCAGGATGATTTCAGGAACATACCACTCTACCCAACTCCTGAGGAGTTCCAGCAAGACCACAGGCCATTTTTAAGGCCCAACATCACTTCCCAACGATACACAAATACCCACCTTTACCTCGACACACACTTCCGGCTGCTCAGAGAGGACTTTGTGCGACCGCTTCGCATGGGAATTCAACAGTTGCTCCAGAACCAGATGGACGCCGGAAGGAACGATAATCCAGCGAAGATGAGGCGTTTCGACGACATTCGTGTTTATTACGACACACATCTGGTGGTGCCCAAGTGCACACAGACTGGTCTCGCCTACATTGTCCAGTTTGACGCTGAGCCACTTAAGGTAAAATTATTGATCAATTTCACCTGTCAGATCTAATAATAAATAGATTATCAAAAAAGACTGCTAACACTAATTTATTTCTGTTCTTGCAGTTTGTGCGCTGGCAGAACTCCAAGAGGCTGCTCTTTGGTTCCCTGGTCTGCCTGTCCTACGATAACTTTGAGAGCTTCTTGTTTGCCACAGTTTCTGACCGAGATCCCAAAGATCTAGAGAAAGGGCAGGTCCAGATTACCTTTACAGAGGAAAGCAGACTCAAGTTGCCCAGAATACAGGTGAGGCAGAGCAAACACTTCAAGCAAACTGCCTGAATCCTAAGAAACAAATACAATTAATATAATAAATTTAACATTTTCCGTTTTTCATCCACAGACTGATCAGTTGTTTCTGATGGTTGAGACAACAGCATACTTTGAGGCCTACCGATATGTTCTAGAAGGCTTAAAGGAGCAGACTGAGGAAGATTTGCCCTTTCAGAGGTAAGAATGTTTCTCTATGTGTCGTGGAAGATTTTTTAATCTAATTGCGCGCTGAAAACCTGTTGATTATGTAGAGTATGTCTGAGTAAATTTAGAGAAGAAAATGTGCATGTCATGCCATAAATATGAGCTCAGTGGTTTGCAATTACAATGCATGACATTACGAATTCCCCAAATTTTAAATAACCCTAACCCTAGCTTGACTTTTTCTATTTATGTGTTGCTGGCAAACATCACTAAGATTTAAAATTAAAACCATAAATATGCTTCGGTTCTCCTGTAGGTATTTTAGAATCATTTCAGTTTGAGGTTTAAGTGCAAACAAATCTTTGTACCATATGGAAGAATGTCACAAAGCTCAGATAATCCCTTACTCAATTTGTAACAAATATAGGTCTTGTAACATTGTCTATTGTTTACTTGTGATATTGTTTGTGTATTAGCCAATGCCATACCTACAGGTGAAAATACATATTTGTACATCAATGTGAAAGTCAATTTCTTAGCTACATTTCTTACATTAAAGGTTATTGTTTTGGACAAGATGAATCTCCTGCTGTGGTCAGTGATGCAGCAGATGTGAAGAAGCCTCTGACTGATAATCTATTGTTACTACATTATGAAAACAGTGGCTTATGGATATTGTTGTTTTTCATAAGCATCCTCTTAGCAAAATAACCTCTATCAGCTCCAGAGCAGCATGTTGTTTAACCTTGAACACCCACTGTTTCTAAACCAGCTATACGAACAGATTCATGTGGGTTAAATGTTTTTGTTCACAACAGATTTATGGAACTTTTGAAAAATCTTGCGACAAATGCTGAATGACCAAAGCCAACCTGCACAGGAGGCACTCTGGTTGTCATTTTAATGTTGGTTTGAACTCTTCCAGATACATTGTAGAGTGCTCCACTGATGTGCAACCACCAGCTTACCTAAGAAGAAATGATGTGTATGACCTCTCCCCTGTTGCCAACCCTGAACACAAAAGCAGCATAAAGCCCTTTAAAAGCCTGGATCCAGAGGCCTGGCCTGACATGGAGGAATTGGGCTTGGATGTGTCTCAGATGAAAGCCTTTCAGCTTGCCCTCACTAAGGAGCTGGCAATCATACAGGGACCCCCTGGCACTGGTGAGCAACCGAAAAGATTTTGCTTAAGCCATAATCCCATCTGTCATAAAGAGACAAATATTGAACAGACTTTTCATATTTGTACAAATCTGGAATCTTCTCAAAAAAAGCTGCCAAAAATGCTCTGGTTTCATCCAACAAATAAAAATGTTACTTTACTTCTTGATGAAATTGTTCTCAAGATTGCTGTCCTAGATAATGTAACACATGAATGTGTCTAAATCCATCTATTCCTTGTCTGCTCTCGCTTTTAGGAAAAACCTATGTTGGCCTAAAAATTGCTCAGGCTCTGTTAACCAATCAGGAGCTTTGGAACAGCATCAACCCAGCTCCAGTGTTGGTCGTGTGCTACACTAACCATGCTCTGGATCAGTTCCTGGAGGGTAAGCAGTAATAATGGAATCAGATTTTTGTTTTCCTGACTGCCTTGAATGGATCAGTAAAGATTTATATATAAAAAAAATAATGTATCTAATCTACTCACAATTGTCATTTTTGAAATACAAATATATCTGGCCTCAGTTGTTTTTAATTCTAATCTTTTTCCATGTAACATTGAGGTCTGAGCCCAGCACCGTAGTAAAATGTTTAGGAATAATAAAGCTCTTTTCCATAAGGTTGGTTTGCTTTGGCTCTGCTTCACAGGCATTCATAAGTTTTTGAAAGATGGCATTGTGAGAGTGGGAGGTCGCAGCAACAGTGAGATCCTGAAACAATTTAATCTGCGTGAGCTGACCCACTCACAAAACTTCAGACGTACACTTCCACCACACCTTCGTACCGCTTATAATCAGGTGGGCTCTTACATACTTGAATCTACAGTGCAGGGGCATGAAACACAAGATAAAGAAGTGTTCAGTGAAATTCACATCTTATTAAATCCTTTACTTTTCCTGATTTAAAGATCTATAGGCAGCTATGTGAGGAAGAAAGGGCCATCCAAAGCCAGGGCATGAGGCTTGAGTGCTCGCTTAAAGGTGTGATGCGGGAAACCTTCCTCCAGAGGTTTATTTTAGACACACATTGGGATAGTCTCAAATGCCTCCCTGTAAGTTAATATAAAACATTTTTTTTTCCTTACAAGTCTTTAAATTAAAATAGGCAATCAAACAAAACTTGAAATGATTTTTCAGATGGAGTGCAGCACTGAGAACTGGAACAGAAAGAACACAAGTCTGATAATGGAGTGGTTGGGTTTGGGTTCAACTAATTTCCAGCAGAGGGAGCCAGAGACTGCGAATGAAAACCAAGGTAGAGCTTTTTAATTGTGAAAATGATGTGTAGTTATTAGGTAACTGGCTTTACAACTTGTTTAATTAAATGCATATAAGTTCCAGAACATTAAAATGACCATAAATACCTCAAAGAATTTCTGTTTAACAGTAAAAAGAAATTAGCAATTAGTAAGAAACTTTACAATGTCTGTATAGTAAAATATATAACACATAAATACATTGTTAGAACACTATTCTCTCTGTCAAGTTGATGCATTTGTTATTGCTTTGTTCCTCATATTAGTTATTTATATAAAAGAAAATGTTATTTCATTTTATTACATTTGTAACCTGGGACCCAAATTATTGTTTTTCTGTTTCTCCTATATTTTGTCGCGTTAACTATAGAAGAGGAAGCGATGGAGGAGGAAGATGAACTCATTGAAATTGCAGAAGAGGCAGAGTTGATCCAAGCAGAGCGGATGATTGACGACGGCTGGACAATTGGTCCCAGAGCTGGCAGAGATGACAAGAAGAAAGAGAATTTGGAGGATGGTGTCAGAGAAATGGAAGAACTGATGCTGGTTATGAACCTGGACAACGTTGATGTGCGGGCAGAGCAGAGTGGAGAAGCCTGGCAGGTAACCACGCTATGGCATTTTATATGCAGCATTGTCAATTTGCAAGAGTGCTAATTAACAAATACAGCCTGAATAAATGCAGAAATAAGTGTGTAATGCAACTTTTTATACAACAAGTTTAAAAAGAGGCTAAATAAAATGGAGAGAAGTAGGAATCATAAAACTCTGCTGTTCCCCAATGCCAATCGGTAGCGTTTTCCATAAAGTAAGGAGGGTATTTTCTCTAAACCTGCACATCCCATACATACATATATAATCTCTTGCTGTATATCAACAGAAAACAATTATTTTTCTCATATATATTAACTGGCATGATAATGATATTTAATTTTAGCCTATAGAACAGGACAAGGCAATTAGCAAAAGTGTGAACCCTGTCCCTTACTTTAGAGGTGTGCATTATCTTGTGTACCGTCCTGCTCTACAGCGCTACCAGCAATTACCAACCACTCAAGGGACCCTTTACCGGTTTAGTACCATTTTTTCATGCAGGGAATTTAATAATTAAGTTAACTTTTAAAGTTTTTTTTTTTGTAGCATTAATTAAACACAGCAGTTAAGTGTGATTTTTGATAAAACCTCACGGTTGCAGCATGATGTACTTGCAACAGCATTTTTATTCTGAATACTCCCAATATGTTTCCCTTTGTCAAGAAGGTTCCTGTGTGATATTTTCTTTGCATTGTTATTTATAATGGCTTATGATACTGATTTTCAAATTATTCAACAGCATCCTGATTTAACTAATTATTAAAAACAGCTTAAGTATCAACATAACTCAACATACACTACTTTTGACTTGTCCAGATGCAACGGGACCAGAGAAAAAAGATGAAACACAAAATCAGAAAAGAGATTGGGAAGAGCTCAGCAATGACTGAGGAGGAGGAGAGTCATGTGTTTGACGTTTGGAGTCTTAATCTGAAAGACAGATGGAGACTTTACCGGTATGTCTACATTTCTGATTAGATTTCTTTTACTCACTGTTTTTTTTCTTCTTTCACTTATTTCTGTATTTTTCTTTTTTGTATACTATAACTACCCTCTCTTTGATTTTTTTGGGGGGTTCTATTTTGCTTCTTTGTTTCTCAAATTAAACTTATGCTGGCAGAAGAATTATGCCATTAGAATTTGAAGAGTCAAACAATCTGAAATATAAAGTGTCCCCCTCAGAGCTAAAATTTAGCTGCAGCCCAGTTTATTTAGAGAACAAGACAGATCATTAAAACCAACATATTTCTGTTCCTACAATTTGGTTTTAGTTGTCTATTATATACTGCTGTCTAGAGTACATTACATTCATTTGTAATGCACTAACAAACATTTGTTTTTCAGTATTTTGCAATATAGTGTTTTATAGTTAGTTTTGCAGCATATGATAAACATTCTAATTGCATAGCTGCTGTCTGATTTTCCACCAAAGAAAACATTTAGTTGTTCCAATTAACGTTTTTCCCAGTGGATTCATGCTAAAGATGTGCCCCTTGTTAATTTCAATTTGCAGGGGCCAAATCTTAAGTATTCATATAATTTCCATTTTTAATGACCAACATTGGACATGCAAATGTATTATTAAATGTTCAGAAAGCCTTACAAGACAAGCCCTTCACTTTGTATCCAAAATTTAAGTTGATCTTTTATCTGAGTGCAGATATTGTTTTTGAAAGGTAATTGCAGTGATCCTAGAGACATGTAGTTGTAATGTACTTATTATCATGATGTAGTGTTTTTAATTCAGTCATCTTATAATAAATATAATCTCTGTACGCTGTTTAATGTAATAATTGTAAAAGCAAAGCCAGGAGCAAATATGTTGTTCAGCATGTATGATCTTCTTACTGATCAAGAATAAATACCCCACAGAAAGACAGAAGAGCCAACAAAACACAATTTCCAATAATATTGTACAAAGTTTTTGTCAGATCTTCTTACTGTTTTTTTATTTGTACCTTTGTCTACATTTAAATAAGTTTTAGCCACAGATTAACTGTGCGTTCCTGTAATTGTCTGTGGTATCAAAGTCATTTACCACTTTATGTAAATTCTGACAGAGCACTCACATTTTAACTGGTCGGTTTAATTTCTGTAAATGGGCGATTTAACTTACCGGTAAGTTAAATTTTTTCAAAAGGTGCATCTGTAAATGCAAAAATGAATGTCATCATTTATCTGCGTTATGAATAGTTTTAAGAACCTTCTTTTTTCATACACATGGATTATACCAATAAGAATGTTGTTTTTAATTTCATTTTGTATTGAGACAGTATTAATTTAACTTAAATAGCCCTAATTCCAAGTTTATTCACTGTGGACTTTACCTATATGAACATTTAGGAAAGAGCACTCAAATATATGATAATTTTTGCTTTTAATTTTCTCCATCCTGACCAAACTGGCTGGTTTAAAACCTCAACTAGGCATGTCTTTTGTTGTCTCTGTCTAACCTAAAATAATTTGTAGGTATCACCAGTTGTAAAAATCAGTGCAATATCACTTTAATCAACTCATAGAACACTGGTTCAGCTGAAAAGCTCTTAAATACACGCATTTACATTTTGTCTGCTTGTGTGTGCAGGTTGTGGGTTACACGCTACAGGATAGAGCTCCGAACTAAAGCCCTAGAGTCTGAGCAGGCATATCAAAATGCAGTGGACAGACTGGCTGATGTTAAACGGCAGGAAAACCTTCATGTCCTCAAGAAAGCAACGGTATGGAATTATTAGATTGATTAATTGTTGGAACGAATATTTATGATATTTATTAGGAATTAGTTACTTAGCCAAGTGTCTTACACTAATTTTATTCTTTTTTAAGTTAAGCTTCATTGAATATCAGATTTGACATGGTTTGAATAGCAAGCTGCCCCCCCTTCCTACTCTGTCACATCTTGCCGATTTATCCAGTTTATGCCTGACGTCCCAGAATCTTCTAAAACGCTGACATATGCTTGTATTTTTTCAATTTTGGGAATATGCATAGAGTACTCATAATGAGTCCAGAACTTATGTCCAGCGACAGCCTAACTTAAATGTCACAAGCCAGTGTCCCGAGGGAAGGGGTAATGCGCCCAACCTGCATAAAAAGATTTTTCTAATCACGGTATTAACCTAGTTGCTGTTTACCACCTGCCAAAAAAACAAAGGATAAATAAGAAGTAAAAGAAAGAAGAAGGTTTGCAGTGGCAGCAAATTCATCATCATGTCTGCTACGAAGTTGGTTGGTCGTGGCTCTGGGCGTGAATGCAGGGAAGATCCATCACACTCACCTTCACTCTCACCCTATGATGGGGATAAAGTCTGGAGGAGAACTGATGGTTTCCTCCTCTAAACCACCTTTTATACCAAAACGCTGCCAATACACCATTATACAGTAGCTGTAAGTTAGAAACACGTTCAGCGGTCATCTGGAACACGTCAAACATTGGAGATAAGTTCTTAATAAGGTACGCATAAGTTATACACAAGTTAATTGTAGGTTTTGGATTAAGTAGACACCATGACTTTTGAGTAACTTACACTTAACGTATGTCAACATCAGATAACTTACCTGTAACTTATAGTCCACATTTGAGCATATGCTGGCGTATGTCGCCATTTGTCAGCGTGCTTAAGCATGTTTCAGCATGCTCAGAACTTTTACAAAACTGATCCATAATTTATCCAACTTTTGCCAGCGTTTTTGCCAGATTCTTTTACAAGTCAGGCATACGCTGGCTAAATCGTCAAGGTGTGACTGGGGCTTAAGGGTGTGAAGTTTTAATGAAGTAAGATGTAGTTGGCGAATACAGTCTCACTCCCCTTTCGTCACTAACTGACATGCAGTGTTCACCACTAGTTGTAGCAGGAACTTCCTAAATTGTTTCCATGAGCTGTGCAGCAAAAACTTACCACTAACCCATCCCTTACCCTAAACGTAAAGAAAAACTAGTAAACATGTTACCACACACTCCTAAAGCTGCCAAACTGACTTTGCAGGCTAAAGTAAAATAGAAAATTGTCACGTGATACAATGTTTGCAATCTGTCATTTACCCTGCACTTTAAATGCTGACACGAGGGGGCTTGGACGAAATAGGAGTGAGAATGTGGTAAGTTGGATGTGTGATTTAACAGACTTTTACCGTTCTGTCTAGGTTATCGGCATGACAACCACAGGGGCTGCAAAGTTCCGTAAAGCTCTGCAGGAAGTACGTCCATGTCTTGTAATTGTTGAAGAGGCTGCAGAGGTTCTGGAGGCCCACACCATCACTACTCTAAGCAAAGCCTGCCAACATCTAATCCTAATCGGAGACCACCAGCAGGTATGAACTCTTGCAAAAATTCAGCTATTTTTCAAACAATTATAAATTTTACATCTCATTAAACCAACAGATTTTCTTTGCTGGTGTGCAATATTACCAAACTGCTATTAAAGGTTTCCCATTTCTATGTCTGGATGAAATTTAGTTAATAAAGTATCACAGGGATTTATTGTATTTTTTTCTATTCCCTATGTTCCTTGAGGTATGGCAAAAGATAAAACTATAGTAAATAAAAGAAAATTAGCTACCATTACTGGAGACTGAAGAGATTAGTGAGGAGTGATATTCTGGACATCAATAGACTATTATACAACAACTTGTCAAGGCCTGCCAAGCACATATGGGCAGGCAGCCTGTCTAGCAATCTGTGGCATGTGATCACAACTACACAGAGTTCTATCACAAGTCTAAATATTCTGTCCTGATCTCATCTTGCTGTGTAACTTCTGTTTGCTGTAAAACCAGTATTTGCATATATTACCCTGTTTATTCACGGCTTTCAGCATGTGTACGGCTAAATCTAATATACTAACCGTTTGACTAAAAAAAAATCAGGAGGATAAAGGACTAATCATGAAGAAAGTTACTTCTTTATAATATGACCATGAATCCTCAAGCATTCTTTTAAATAATGTAACAGGAAAGATATCATGCTGTTTCAAATAAATTCTCTTTCTTTGCAGTGGATTAAAACTATTGGGCATTTACTTGAACTTAAAAAAAATGTTTGTTATAGTGTTTTGCAGAAACCAAACTTGAATACATGTTTGCAAAGGAAAGTGCATCCTACTTTCCAAGGAAAATAAGTTTGGCATTGTTGTGCTATTAATTAATCACAGGTTTGGTGTTGAATAGAGCAGAACACAATGCTTCACATTTTTACTAGAATGTGTCTTGCCTCCTCCACACCCCTCCCACACACTTTCACAATCACACTCTGTCCTCTAGCTAAATTAGGTTTGCAAAACTACACACAGACAACATTACTAACGCACACAGACAAAAGATAGGGGGGTTAAATACATTTTCTTACATTCTATATGTGCTGTTAACCACACACAAAATTAATATCAAATCAGGTGAGAGACTAGATTACTTCACACTTTTATTCAGGGAGTTTCTAACTAAATAAACAACTTTGAAGATTAATCACTTTTAGATGGATGGATGGATGGATGGATGGATGGATGGATGGATGGATGGATGGATGGATGGATGGATGGATGGATGGATGGATGGATGGNTGGATGGATGGATGGATGGATGGATGGATGGATGGATGGATGGATGGATGGATGGATGGATGGATGGATGGATGGATGGAGTTGCATGCAAGATTTTATGCTTAAAAACAAGAAAACAAAATTCATTACAAATTCAGCCAGATAAATCTTGATTATATTTTTAAAATCATTTTCATGTATAAAACCAGAACCTGTAAAGACTTAAAAAGGCACAAGCATGCTTACAACAATAAAACAACAACACCATATTATTTGACATTTAAAATACATTCCAAATCTAGGAAAATACTTGATTACCAGGATAGTTATTAACAATAAACTGTTATTTGAATTAAAGCATAAAAATGTATTTTGTTTAAAAAAAAAAAAAAAAATCCAAAATAGATTTGAAAATTTATTCAGAAAACAATAACAATGGGATTAAATTGAACATGCAGCCCATCCAAATAAGAAAAACCTGGTTAAAGATGCTAAACTGATAAAGTTGTGGATGAAAATAATACAGAATCTAACGTTTATCTAAAGTGGTGTTTTTTATATTTTTTTATTATTATTAGCTGAGACCAAGTGCCACTGTTTATGAGCTTGCAAAAAACTTCAGCCTGGAGATGTCTATGTTTGAGAGGCTGGTAAACATGGGACTGCCTTACGTCAGACTCAACTATCAGGTTTGTTTGTTTTCTTGTCTTTTTTATTTTTTATTTATTTAAACTTTTGTGTTGGTAAACACAAAACTTTGTTAGTTAGAAGAACTTAATTTTGAAACACATATTTAATCTCAGTTGGAGTTTGTCTTTTCATCTTTTTTATGTGTTTTGCCCCTCAGCATCGTATGAGGCCAGATATTGCTTGTCTTCTGACCCCACACATTTACTCGGAGTTAGAGAACCATCCGTCTGTGTATGAGTATGAAAACATCAAGGTGATGAAACATTTTATCTCATGCAGTTATTTTAATCTGCTTCTGTGATCAACAAAGACCTGATCCCTCAACAGCTGTGCTTTTGTTTTCATTGAACAGGGCCTGAACACAAATCTTTTCTTTCTGGAACACAACCACCTTGAGGAAGAGATCAAAGATGGAAGAAGCCATCAGAACTCTCATGAAGCAAAATTTGTCGTTGCTCTGTGCAGATACCTCCTCCTCCAGGATTACAAACCAGAACAAATCACTATACTCACGACCTACACTGGCCAGCTTCACTGTCTGCGCAAACAGATGCCTGCCAGTGACTTCTCAGGGGTCAAAGTACACGTGGTTGACAAGTATCAGGGAGAAGAAAATGACATTATTTTGTTGTCTCTTGTGCGCAGCAACCGGCAAGGAAAAGTTGGCTTTTTGAACATTCCCAATCGTGTCTGTGTAGCTTTGTCACGAGCCAAGAAAGGCCTTTACTGTATTGGCAACAGTGAGATCCTGAGCAGAGTTGAACTGTGGAGTAATATCTTCCACACCTTGAGGGAGAAGGAGCAAGTTGGGAAAGCTCTGACACTGTGCTGCCAGAATCATCCAAATCGACAGGTCAAGGCTTCTTCTGCTGAGGATTTCAAACAGGCGCCTGAGGGGGGATGCACCCAGCCTTGCCAGTTTCGTTTGGATTGCGGCCATGTTTGCCCAAGAGTCTGTCATCCCTATGACCCGAAGCACAAGGAGTTTAACTGTACTAAGAAGTGTGAGAAGATTTTATGTATTCATGGGCATAAGTGCACACGTTTGTGCCATCAGACATGTCCAACAAAATGTCCAGTAAAAGTTGAGAAGATCATACCTCAGTGTCATCACACACAAATGGTTCCTTGCCACCAAGAACCAGACACATTTATTTGCCAGGATCCTTGCCAGAAACTGCTTCCCTGTGGTCATCCCTGTGATTCAGTCTGTGGGAAACCTTGCAGCACCAAGTGCACAGTGCCAGTAATATTAAAACTTAGTTGTGGGCACAACCAGCAAGGTGCTTGCTTTCAAAAAACAGGCACAGAGCAACCTGAATGTAGGGCATCATGTAAGCATGAGTTAAAATGTGGGCACGGCTGTCGCGGTACCTGTAGCAAGTGTAACCAGGGGCGCTTCCACACCCCCTGCGCTCGACGATGTGAACGTCTTCTGATCTGCTCTCACAAGTGCATGGAACCTTGCACACGTGATTGCCCTACCTGTCAGAGGCCCTGTGAAAACTGCTGTGTCCACAGTAACTGTATGAGGGAGTGTGGGCAACCATGCGCTCCTTGCGTTGAGCCCTGTGCTTGGCAGTGTCCTCACCAACGCTGCAGTAAACTTTGCCATGAGCCATGCGATCGTCCACCATGTACTCAACCTTGTAAAGAGACCCTAAAATGTGGCCACCCATGCATTGGTCTCTGTGGGGACAAATGTCCAAGTAAATGTCGCATCTGCCACTATGAAGATGTCTCAGAGATTTTCTTTGGCACTGAAGATGACCCTGAGGCTCGCTTTATTCAGCTTGAGGACTGTGGACACATCTTTGAATCCACAGCTATGGACCAGTGGATGTCTGACATTAATCAGGGACCTGAAGAAGGGCAGGTAGCCATAAAGCTTAAAGAATGCCCTAGGTGTAAAACTCCAATACGTAAAAATCTGCGCTATGGATCACTCATCAACCGCAGTCTGGCTGAGATAGAAATGGTAAAAAGGAAGATAAATGGAAGGCAGTCTGATATTGAGGAAAAAAGAGCTTCCCTGAAAAATCACTGGTTAGAAAATCATACAATTGCTGACATGTATGTGCAGGAGGAGTATAGGGATATCCAAGAAAAGCTTGAAAAAAACTACCTCACGTCAAGTGATCTGTGGGTCTTGGAAAACAAGATTGATTTTCTGATAAGAGTAGCAAAGCTCCTAAAAGTCGAAAGGGAAAAAATGTTATTCACAGATGGCTACAGGTTTCGACAGAGAGTTAAACAGTTCATGCCCTGGCTCAATAACACAAACCAGAAGTTCACAGACCAACAAGTCTTTGATTTGCAGAGAGAGCTACAAAGACTCACCTTACTGGCTGAACTTAATGGCCGGTGCCATGTTGCAGATACAAAAGGCCAAATGAGCAAAATGCAGTCTGAAGTTCAAGAAATCAGACATGCCTTGGAGATGGATGGCCAGTTCACAGAGCAAGATCAACTAAATGTTAAAGAAGCCATGAAGAGTCTGGATAAAAAGTTTCCAGTCACTGGCTTGGGGATCAGTGAAGAAGAGAGAAAGATGATTGTCTCAGCAATGAAAATGCCCCCAGGCCACTGGCATAAATGTCCTAATGGCCATGTCTATGTCATTACAGAGTGTGGTGGAGCTAATCAGAGATCAAATTGTCCTGATTGCAAAGCATCTATTGGTGGAGAAAATCACAGACTTGACAGTGGCAACCAGGTTGCCACAGAAATGGATGGATCCCGGTATTCAGCCTGGTCTGAAGCTAATAATCTTCGCAATTTTGATCCTCTAGACATCTAAAAGCTAATATTTAAAGCATATATTATATGATGCATGCTTCCAATAGAATGGTGTTAAATAATATATGCAAACAAAATGTATTATATTAGCTCTTAAATGTATAAAAAGAGTCCTTGCAATCATTTTTCAGTTTTTGCAATCATTGAGCAAGTAGTAGGCTTTACAAAGGTAATTAACAAATGAACAATATTTTAGATGGAATTGATTTTTAAATTCCTTCACTGAAGTTTGACAGGGAATGTGAAATTCAAGAAAGTTTTAAAAGATTCTCCAATATTACAACATATGGTTTTAGAATTTCAATGTGTGTATAAATCAATCAATATGAGCATGAAGTATTGTATTCAATAAATGACTGTTAAGAATATGTTTTAGTAAATGGTTAACAGTGTTTTGTACCCTAACAAGAACAAGGTGGCAGCAGAATACTGTTAAACAATACAATGTTAGTTCAAATAAAATAAAATATGCCTTGATCAACAAGTGATTCCTTGTCTGTTTTTATTTCATATGCATGTATTCTACATATGTCCTCACATTGAACTTAAATGAAAATGATTAATTTTGCTGCTAAAATAATTTATCTAGCCAACTTTCACTGTTTTCTTTTTTGTTGTATGATATTCTCCTGAACCTTTCGCAGCAAGGGTTAAAAACGTGTCTCAAACAGGATATCGTTGGCAATGAATTCAAAGAAATAACCCTGAAATAACTACCATTCCTCCTCACCATGTATTACTCCCACTCACAGAGTTTCAATTTGGTGTCTAGTAACAAGTTTGCATCACTTTATTATATGATGAATGTTTCCCTGTCACAAGCCCAGCTCTTGTGCAAACTTTGCTATCTGAAGGTATGGACAACAAAAAATGTCCTGTCAAGGAAGCGTTAACAGTGAGCAAACTTTAAAAGCTGGCCACTCTTTTAGTATTTATAGTGTTCAAGTACAGACTTGAGGAAAAGCTGGATGAAAGGTGACGCTGGAGGAAAAAGGGTAATATCCTCCAAGGTGGACTGACTCATTTATCATGCCATGTGGCCTTAAGTATGCCGCTGTCAGAGTTCACGGGTGTGCTTCTGCCATAATAACTACAAAGTTACTTTAAATCTAAAATCTTTTAGTGTTCAATAACGGCGCTAATCATTATTTTTTTTTCCACAGTGAAAATAAAATTTTTGGAAAAAAGAAATAGGAACTCAAACTTACAGTCTGACATCAAAGATTACATATAAGGAGGCTCAGTTGCATATGCAAAGGAAACAGCATATGCAATAAGAATGTGAAGAAAGACATTTTTCTTGCCACAAGTTAGAGATGTACACTAAACCACCAGCCCCAAAACCCAATGTTTTTTTTTTTTTTTACAGGTTCTGTAATAGTTTTTGTTTTGTGGCTGCTGATATTTTATATATATATATATATATATATATATATATATATATATATATATATATATATATATATATATATTTATGAATGTGCCACAGTATTTGTGTTCATTTTTGGTATTTTTTTGTTTGGGATTAACTGGATATAGATTCAGTTTGCACTAATTTGTGCAGGCCTGTGCAGATCTCTCTCTTTTTTTTATGTATATTATTCTATTGTTATTTCTGACCATTGAAATATGTTCAAATGCACACAGACTCTTTTTCCATCATCCCATATTGAACCAATACCTCTTTCTTCTCTGCAATTTCCACTGAAATGATTTTGTGTGAGTTTACACCTGACTGTCAAAGCTAATGAAGTTAATCAAAACCAAAAACTCCAACTTACTTCAGATCAATGTCTGAGAAATTCTGCTGCAGATACAAAAAAAAGTTTGCAAAAACTTTCACATGCAAATCATTAGTAATAAATGAAGAATTGCTTGGCAAGTGCAAACAAGTAAACATATATTTTAGCACACAAACCTTTTGAAGATCAGACCCATAGAGTCCAGTAAACGATGCTTTGCTAATATATTCATACATTTTTATCTTACATTTATGTCACAAACACAAACTTAAATCTATTTTATTTGGATTTTCTGTGTTAGCAAAACTAGGTTGCAACTTGGATCGGAAGGAGCTTGATGCATGCTTTTTAAAGTATTTTACAAAAAAGAAAAGTTTGTTGTGGATATAATACACTAAAATTCACCTACTTTAAAAAAATTAAACCTATCTATCTTTTTTTTTTTTTTATCTCACAATGAATTCTAATCTGAGTTGTTAAGAGGCCCTTACAAACCTCAGGAGCAATATATTGCATTATATTTGTGCCACCAACTTGAGTGTGCACTGAGACAGCTGTAAATAGCTGCACAGATGAATCTTTCTTATCCAATCAGTGTATCTCTTACAAATACTACTTTAGGTTGAATTGAAAAAAAAAATAAATAAAAACAATTTCAGCAAATCCAACTACTTCACCCTGCAACCAAACAGCACAAATCACATAATTATATAATGGGGAGTGACGGCCTACTGGTTTGGGTATTGCACTTGGAATTCAGAGGTTCTAAGTTCAAGCCACTCTGGGTCCCTGAGCAAGACCCCCACACTGCTCCCTGGGTGCTGCACAATGGCAGCCCACTGCTCCCCAGATTCATTTCGTTGCTCTGTACTTGGGACAGTTTAATGACAATAAAATGTTTGAAAAGGAAAAAATAAAAACAGAAGTCTAGCATTAAAAACACCACAAGATAACATAATTAATATAAAATTTGAATTGTTTAGCCTAATAATATGTTGTACAAATATAATTGCTTACATTGTGTTGTCTCTCACTCATTAATCTGGCATTTAATTTGAATAAATATTTTGTATAATTGCAACCACCTAAAATATGGAAAGCTCTGTTTTACGTATTATCAGATCTTGTATCATGTAAATATCATGTTTTAGATGTGGGCTTTGTTCTGTTTCTTGCTTACATTGCTTGCAATAGGAAATAGTAGGAATCAACCCATTCACTGGTGAAAAGTTTCAGTTGAGTTTGAATAATAATGTAATGAAATAATGTATAACAATATCCTTTGTTGGAGGGCTATAAATAACTTTTATCTATGTAGCACTTTATCAAGTCTGTGGATTACAAAGTACTAAACGCAATAATGAAGGTACGGCTAACATGGGACAAACTGACACAAGCGGTGCTAGCGTACACATTGACCACCAACAGCAGGCAATGTGGGCTAAGTGTCTCACCCAAAAACACATGGACTGAGAAGCCCAGTTAGGCAACCCACAGGTTACAGGACAAACCCCTCTCTCCGAAACCATCATCATCCAAAGAGCTCCTCTTTTTCTGACAACCATTCATAGGGTATGAAAACTTTGGTTTTTAAATGATATTCAAAATTACCTGTAAGCAGGAGGACATTGAAAAAAAGTCTATTATTAGACTTTTTAAAATTCACAATATAAAAGACTTATGAAGAAAAGGAAAATTAAGGCTACTTAATATAAGCAACAGATTTAGATTTATTCTCTGTGTTTTCAGTTGGTGAATTTACTCTCATTTACATAATTTTTTCTATACCATGGTATAAAACCATAAATAATTAAGATATTAATTTTTAATTGCTTAAGATTTTATATTTCACCTCTTTTCCTTTAAAAGTCAGCCAGTGGTAAAAATAGTCTGTAGAACAGAAAAATGACCAATGTTCACATGTATTAAATGAGCTGTTGGTTTTATGCTGGCTAAGGATAATGGGTTTTTGTTATCAGAAAATTGCTCATTAATTTTCCCTTGTAGGATTTTCATCAGCAAAGGAGTTTGTAGTCTAGTGTTTATATGTAACAGAAACTGTATTTGATATGTTATACTGTAGCTCAGTAAACAACAAACTAGTTTTTTTTTCTGTTCTTTGGTTTACCAAAGGATCTAACACCAAGTTACAAAAACATTAGCTTCTGCTATCATGCAATACCTTAAAGCTTCTTCATGTGCTCTGAACCATGTCTCTGTGCTAAATTATAAATGAGAGGTTGTTTACATGGTTGTGGTCCAGAGAAGTTATCTTTTAACTTAGTTACTGCGCTTCAATAATTGCAGCTTGGCTCGGCATGAAAATTATAAGATACATTTTACAAATGAAGGGAATTAGATGTTTTCTTGTAAGTACACCAACTGCAGCTTCCCATGTCTCCTCATCTTATCATTTCAGCCAAAAAACTGCTCTTTCAAGATATGCGCTTTGAAGTGTGCACATCAGATTACGCTGTTTTTTTTTAGCAGGGTGCACAATAATTCAAAAGGATCTGAGTCAACCTGGAGCTCTGTTTGAGGCCACTACTATTCTTGGTATGAAAACTTTGTTCAACACAAGCTGCAATGAAAGAAAGGACAGCAATCACAATTTCATTAAATATCACAACACTCCCACTGGCTGTAATTTTCTACTAAATTTGTCTGCAACTTAGTTTCTGCCTGTGCAGATCTCCCTAGCTTTTTTTCCTTCAAAACAACAAGGAAAAGTTATTTAGCCACAACTGGCCTCATGTTCCTGCTGTGGTCATTGCTTCCCACAGGTGCTTTGGCCTCTGCTAACACACTGTTCATTTCCCAGTGGATTTGACGGATCCTCTGATCAACAAGAATTGCGAGACAAAGTGAGCCACACAAAGAGAGAGGCAAAAAAACTAGTTAAAACTATAGGCAGACTGACATTCAAGACACAGAGCTGGCAGAGGGTGAGATAAAATCAAGGGGAAAATAGAGAGATTAGGAGGGCAGGGGATGTAGTAGACTGATTGACTGATCTGTTTTCAGGCCACAAGAGACTGCTGATATTGGGAAGAAGTCCAGGGTTGGAAAGAGAGATGATATGAAGAGAAAATAAGCCAGATTTGATATGATGTGAATAGAGTACTTTGACTGATCCTCCTCTCCACTGGACCAGTGAATTTGATGTGGGGAGAGATATTCAAGCAGACAAAAGGAGTAAAATCAATATAGAAAGAAAAACAAAGTAAATGGTGAACAGGAGATAAGGTTAAAGCAAGTAAACAACGAAAGAAGCGAAAAGAAGAGCAGAGAGCTTGACATGTTATTCTCAGCCTATTCTTATACAGGTACTTCTCCAAACCAAGAAAGAAAAAACAAATATTAATAATTAATTTTAACAATAAATTATATATATTATAATATATATATACTAGGTTTTACAGATAATAAAATCTACACATACAGTATTGAACCTCTCAGACAATTTCGGTATTTTGTCAGAAACTGTCACACCTTCATTGGTTAAATCACCTAAAACAAATGCTGATGCCACAGATTTTCAGATCCCAGTTATTGCTTCCCCTTCACACGACAGGTACAGTAAGCCTTTCCTAAGTTTCTGTGACAAATTGGTAAATCTGGGTTTCATTGTTTGAGTGTGTACATGTAAGTGGGTGTGATATATTTAACCTGGCTCCAATAAAGTTCTTTGGAGGTTTAAAAGTTTTTTATTCAATTGTATTCAA